AAAAAAAAAAAAAAAAAAAAGAAGCAAACATTTTAACACTATTAAAAATGGAAAACCAACAACGACAGCCATGAAATCATGAGTTGAAGTAATGGCTATATTTTCTAGTATAATTAAAAGAAAACAGCTATTAAAATAAAACATACGTGTCAGCCACTTAAAATCATCTCATATACCACCACTCAGATATGCAGTGCACCGTTTGGAAATACTGAACTGGAGAATCCTGGCAGAAGCTAAAATCGAAAAAAAAGGCCATAAGAGGCTGCGTATACATAGATGATATGAGTTATGCAGAGAAAGCCGGTAACAGAGAGGAGGATGGAGAGAGGCAGAGATGTCACAGAGAAGGAGGCAGGTTGACAGAGATGGAGACACAGAAAGAGGTGGGCACAGAAGCGAGTGAAAGTGAGAGAGAAACAAAGACACAGAAGAACCAGAAACAGAGACAGAGCCAAAGAGAAAGAGAGAGAGAATGCACTCATACAGGCAGAGATGCAGAGACAGCCAGAGGCAGAGAGAGAGGGGAGGCGGCGGGGCCCGAGGGACACACCACTTTTGCCCCAGCCACGCGCACTGAATCCTCCTCCTCCCAGGCTGAGCAGCATTGGTCTGGGTTCTCTGCAACCACAGGAGGGACGTGACCAGCTCGCCACAGTCCTCTGGCCAGGTTGCCCAGCAACTGGACAACAGTTGGCTCCCACAGACCAGGAACACACTTACCTTGATTTCTACAGGGTCGTTCTGGTGGAAGTTGATTGGTGCGACCCCAGGAACGTAGAAGGCCCCGGTATCACACGTGAGAGAGAGAAGCAGCAGGGACCACGGCAACCAATCCTGCTTGGAAGAAGAGAGGTGGCAGTCGGAATGGGGGAAAGAGGTGAACAACCCTCTGGGGCACCGTCACATCTGCTTTAACTGACACAGTCTCATCCCCACTCTGAGAAGCCTGAGGCCACCCAAGGGCTACCCTCTAAATGCCCCCAAGGGTGCTATGAGGCACTGATCCTGCACTTCCAGAAACAGAGCCACAAAGTGAGTGCAGTAATTAACAGGTCAAAAGGGCAGACTAATACAGGAGCCACGGCTCCCCACGCTTCGAGCAATGTTCCTTTCATCATGTCACATGTATCACTGTCCTGTAGGGCCAGCAGGAAACAAAGCTCCACAGTGTCCCATTAATTCCCATTTCTCCACATAGCAACGGGCTTGCTTTGTCAGGAAGCTCCTATGGTACCAATACATTTTCCTACAAACCGTCTCCAAAATTGTCCTGACCTCGCCGCCTCCCATCCTCTGCCTCCTCAGCTCCGTTCACACCCGCCTTCGTGTCTCCGGACAGCAAGTCCTTCTCCACCCCCTCAGGGCCAGCGCCTTCACTGCTCCCTGTCAGAATGCCCTTCCCAAAGGTGCCTGCCTGGCTCACCCCCTTATTTCATTCAGGTCTCTCTCAGATGTCACTTCCTCAGAGAAGCCTCCACCGACTAGCCCGTCTAAAATGGCCTCCTCAGGGCTCCTATCACCCATTCTCCAACCCCTTGCTCCACTTCTCTTCATGGACTTAGCTAATTGGCATGGACATATGTATCTGTTTACTTGTGTATTATCTGTCCCCCTTGACTCGAATGTAATCTCTGTGGGAGCAGGGACTGTGTCCCCAGTGCCTGGCACCTGGGAATCAAAGGCAAGAAAGATCAATTACCCACCTCAAGAAGTACCCCATCAAAGCATCTCTTTCCCTTCATTAATATGCTTTGCCCCCTCAAGGTACTAGAAGAGCTTCTTTCCCTCTGCCTGGCTTGAACAAGGAACTTTATCGTCCACACACCTGGATCACCAACTCAATTGCGCGGCTGCATCTGCCTTCTCTCTCCACCCCTTTTACCGCTGTGGCATTTCAGACCCTCATTTCCTCCCATCGGACACTGGCCACAGCCTCCTGATCACCTTGTCCCCGCATCCTTCAAGTCACCATCACCACCACACACACACACACACACACACACTCTCTCTCTCTCTCTCTCTCTCTCTCTCTCTCTCTCTCTCTCTCTCTCTCTCTCAGACGATTCTTTCTGGAACTCAGTGTTATAGGGAATCACAATCACTCAGGGGCCTTGCCAAAAATGTAGACTCATCTGTGTTTTTACCAGGAGCACAAGTTGAGGAAAACTGGCTTTCAAAGTTTAAGGTTCTGAGCTTGTGCACTAGTTTAGATACAAAGCCTGGTCAAACTCTTAAAAGCAATATATTCATAGAGTGCTTTCCTCTGATCTGCTGTGATGTTTATAAGTATCTGTCAGCTGATGTGCATTATGAAATATGAAATAATAGTCTGACCCCAACAAAAACAGTGAAAAATGGCTAAGCCAGTTGTATTGAATCTGGCAATCACAAGGTCAGCAGAATTAGGGGTGAAAGCAAGATCTTTAAAAGAAATGACAAGACAAAAAGGTGGAAAAATGTCTCATGGGGTAGGATTCTGTATAGGAAGTCAGTATGTTCCCCGCCCTCTGTCATTTTTTTAAACTTTTTATTTTTAAATAAATTTAGATTTACAGAATATACTATGAGAGTTCCCATATACTTTTCATCCACTTTCCTCTAATGTTAACATATTACATAGCCATGTGTAAGAGAGGCTTTTAAAAAAATAACTAGGTTAAAAAAGTTTTGAAAAAGCAAAACATATACAGTAAATATTTGCGAAGATTATGGAAAAACCCGAACAAACTTTTTGGCCAATCCAGTAATTCAAACAGTACAAATGGGTATAACCATGAAAAATAAATCTTCCTCCCTCTTCAGCTCCCCACAGACAACTGCTAGCACCAGTTCCTTGAAAATCCCTCTGGAGATATTCCATGCACATACAAAGAGAAGCCTTTAGTAGCATGGGCTTGCCTTGATACAGCAACAACAAACAGATTTTTATTCTTTCTTTCTGTGAGAGGAAGCCTACTGACTGTGGGCTGGTTACAGCTTCTGATTTCCTCTCCATCAAGTGGAGCATTTCCTCCACTTGACCAGTCATCAGAAGATTCTAGCCCTCCCTCTTTGCTAGGCCTCACTGGGCAGTCCTTAGATTGAGTGCTTTGTGTGAGAGAAATAAATCCTGTCCTTTGTTTTCCTCAAATTCCTCTTTGAGCCTGAATTCCAGTTAACTAAATGCAAGGAAGACAAACCCTGTACTACTGACATCAAATGTCAGCCAAAAGTCATTTAAAAATAATAACCCAACTCTAAATTTTTGAAAAATGATACAGAAAACAGACAATCCTCACACATAGATACTATCAACAAATCACAAATCAATTTATCTTATAGGAAGGATCAACAGATGAAAAATGGCAAGAAGTATTTCCACAATGTGCTAGAATTTTTGAATATAAGTTGGTAACCAAAAGCAATTCAGAAGTTCAGTGTAGAATTAATGACTATACCAAGATGATACCGTTAGTTTTAGATATTAAAATGTCACTGTTTCGATATTTTCATATGGCTGGAGGGACTGTAAACTGAAACATTTCTGGGGGGCAATTTGACGCTATCAAAATCCTCCCCCCAAAAAAGTCCCCCAGAAGTGCATACTCTTTGACCCTGCAATTCTACTTCTAGACATGTTAAGAAAAATATGACAAATATGCCAAAATGTACAAAAAAGGATGTTCACCACAGGGTTATTTAAAATAGTGAAATAGTTCACAACTTACAACAGTTAAAATGTCCAATATTAGTGGAATGGGTTAAATTATGGTGTAACACTTATCCTTTTATGTAGTCATTAAACGTGATGATATACGTCTTGAGTAGAAATATTCAAGCTTTAGATTTATGTAGAAAAAGCAGGGGATAGAACCCTGCTCAGCAAGATATGCCCCTCTTTTTTAAAGTTATGTTTGAGAAAATGAGGTGATGTTTTCCTTTTTTGCATATCTGTATTTTCCAGTTTTTCTTTGGGGATTATACATATTTATACCACTTAAGAAAAATAATAAAATAAATTAGGCAAAAGAAAACATCGCTGTTCTGAACGCCTAGGTTAGAGCAATTCTAGCTTGGTATGGAAAGAACTCTACCTGCTGGCCCCAAGATGCCTTTCCATCAGCACCTCCCACCTTTTCTTTCTAAGCCTTCAGGAAGACCCCAAGTTTGTCTCTGCTCTTGGTAAGCAGACTTGCCCAGGTGAGGCTGCCTTCAAGGCCTTTGCTCAGGCTGTTTCTGACACTTGCCCTTACCTAATTCAAGTCCTACCTACACTTGGAGGTCCAGTTGAAATGTTGCTTCCTTCAAGAACCCCTCAGACCCCCACAGGAGGAATTATCCTCTTTCTTCTTTATTTTTCAAGGCACTTGACGAATATCTCTATGATGACACTAGAGGCAAGAAATTGGAAACTACCCAACACCCAAATGAACTTTCACATCTATACATGTTCAAAGACTGCTGCTTAAGTTATTTGGCAAGTATTTAAATCTGTACTTGTTTAAGGCCCTACTATAGCACTTTTCATGTTGTATTATGGTTTAAGTATCTGCCATCTCTCCACCTGCACTAATCACTTGTCTGGCTTTGTTGATGTGAGTACTCAACAAATCCTTATCAAACAGGCTAACAATAAGCATCAACTAACCTCTGATCTATAAAAATATAAAATCATACATTCACATACAGGTTGAATACTATGGTTCTTAATCTTTGCTATATCCACTTGATAACTGATTTTCTTCAAATCCTCAAATTTAAGGAGTTCTTGACACCTCCCACCTTTCCAGCTGTCCAAGGACCTACTGTGAGAATCCCTGAGACATCTATTACCTCTATACCCTATCTGTACATCTAGGATACTGGTTCTCAACCCTGATGCACATTAGAATAACCTGGAGAGTAAATGGATTAAATTCCCAATCAAAAGACATGGAGTGGCTGAACTGATAAAAAAACAAAATCCAGTGATATGTCACCTGCGAGAGACACATCTAAAGACACACACAATGAAAGTGAAAGGATAGAAAAAGATGTTCCATGTAAACAATAACCAGAAGAAAGCAGGAGTAGCTATACTTATATCAGACAAAATAGACATTCAGTCAAAAGCTGTGCCTAGAGGGCTTCCCTGGTGGCGCAGTGGTTGAGAGTCCGCCTGCCGATGCAGAGGACATAGGTTCGTGCCCCGGTCTGGGAAGATCCCACATGTCGCGTAGCGGCTGGGCCGGTGAGCCATGGCTGCTGAGCCTGCGTGTCCGGAGCCTGTGCTCCGCAACGGGAGAGGCCACAACAGTGAGAGGCCTGCGTAACGCAAAAAAAAAAAAAAAGAAAAAAAAAAGCTGTGCCTAGAGACAAAGAAGGTCATTATATGATGACAAAAGGGTCAATTCAATAGGAAGATAAAATAATTATAAATATATATGCACCCAACATCAGAGCACCTAAATATATAAAGCAAATATTGACAGATCTGAAGGGAGAAATTGACAGCAATGCAATAATAGTAGGGGACTTTAATATCCCAATTACAATACTGGATAGAACATCCAGATAGAAAACTGTTAAACAGCTGACTTGAACAACACTACAGACCAAATGGACCTATATATATAGACATATATAGAACCTTCCACCCAACAGCAGAATACACATCTACTCAGGTGCACATGAAACATTCCCCAGGACAGACCACATGTTAGGCCACAAAACAAGTCTTAACAAATTTGAAAAGAGTGAAATCATCCCATGTATATTTTCTGACCACAAAGGAATGAAACTAGAATTCAATGACAGCAGAAAATGGGAAAATCTGCAAATAGGTGAAAACTAAACAACACCCTCTTAGATCAAAG